GGGTGAGACAGAGAGAGAGCATGCTGGTACCATCTCTCTGGATTTACACTACTCCTGTAGTCCCGGTATAGTCACATTCCAACTGTACCTCTCCATGCCTCTCATCAGTGTCCGGACAACCACAGCTCCTATTTTATCAGTCTTCCTGCTTCCAACCTCTCCCCTCCTACCCACATCTTCACAGCAAAACCAGTATGATTTTCACACAACACAAATCTGCCTGTCTCTCCACAGATCATGGACCTTCAGTGGCTCCCTGTTGTCTTCAAGATAAATTTCTGGTCTCTGTTCACCTCTCCATCCTCATCTCTCCCCATTTCCTCCACTCTCAGAGCTCTCAAATTTCTAAGGGTCCAACAAAATCACCATCTTCTCATTTCATTCATAGCCCTGAGCACTCTGAGATGTCACTCTCTGGCAACAAGTTCATCTCCCCCATTGGACTGTAACCTCCCAGGATCAGAGCCTGGGGCTCAGCACTCCTTTGCAAAGGCTGTTCCCTCTGCATGGAACACTCTTCCCCATTCTTTCACTAGGTTAACTCTTTCTCATCCTTCAGGTCTTAACTCTTCATGTTTCCTCCTCTCAGAAGTTCTCCCTGATCCTTCAGGCTATTATCAGTCACCTCTTCTGGACTCCTTCATCCCCTGAGATTCTCTCATCCTAGGCTTGATGACTCTGCCTGGGCTTCCCCCAGCATAGCCCTGACCACTCTGAGATGTCACTGTCTGGCAACAAGTTCATCTCCCCCATTGGACTGTAACCTTCCAAGATCAGAGCCTGGGGCTAAGCACTCCAGCTCCCCAGCATTGCCTAGCACAAGGTGGGCACAGTATTTTGCTCCTCACAGGTAGGGTTGTGCCTGATTCCTCGCTGGGTCCCAATGCTGAGTCAGCCCAGTTGCCAGCAGAGACCCGGTAAAATCTGATAAATAAAATAACCAGCTGCCAGATGGGGACTTCCCAGACTGGTCTCTAGCTTCTCCCTCCCTGCAACCCCAGGTTCATCCTTGGGTCTCACCCTCGGGTCTGTCCCCATCCAACTCATGAAACTCCCCCAAGGCAGGATGGGATCTGACTCTCTCTGTGCCTGGAGCATGGGCTTGCAGAGGTGTCAGTGAATGTCTGTTAGGTGAGCGAATGAGGGAATGGATGAAAGAGCAGGAGCAGCATGGTGGAAGAGGGAGCCAGTAGGGGAAGGAGGATGAGGACAAGATGGAGAGGACCCAAGGATCAGTGCTGGCTTGGGGTTGGGGCGGAGTAAGGAGGAGGGGGAGCAGATGAAGAGGCTGAGGCAAAGGTTTAGGCTGATGGGAGTAGAGGAGGGTTGGTTGAGAGGGACTGGGATGGGGTGGAGATGATGAGAAAGAGAAGAAAAGGGTCAGGCTGAGGATGGAGCTGAGTGGGGGTGGGGCTCGAGAATGAGAACGGGGCTGGTGGGAGGAGGAGGAGGGGGCCAGGCCAGGAAGGGGTGGAGGCTGGGATGAGGATGATGAAGATGGCCCGGGTATGGGGGCTGGTGAGGACCCAGGGAGCTTCAGCAGGCCCATGCGGGGGCCACTAGTGGGATGCGGGGTCCTTCCCTGGACCAGCCCCTCCTCCTCCTAAGTCGAAGCCTTCGGCCACAGTCACCCCCATCCGGGGCGTGGGAAGAGATGCACGCTGAGAGGGCGGGGCTGGGGTGAGGGTTCGGGGCCAAGACCAAGCCAGGGGACCAGGACCCGCGACAAGGGGTGAGGGGCGGCGCAGGCCTCGGGTTCGGGCGGGGCCGGGGGCGGGGCGCGCCGGGCGGGGCCGTGCATGGACAGACTGCCATGCAGACGGACTGACGGCCGCGTAGGCCCCTCACCACCATGGTCGCGTGGCCTCCTCAGGCGCTGGCCGCGCTAGAACCCTCGATCGTCGTCCTCGTCGCCGATGCCGCCGCCATGGCGACACAAAGGGGAGGGCGCGAGCCGCGCGCGGGCGGCTGCAGGCTCCGCCCCTAACCGCTGCCGGTGGCTCTGGCGCTAGCCCCACGGAGGCGGCAACAGTGAGGACGCGGCGCCGCTTCTCATTGGCTCCATCCTTGACCGAGGACGCCCCGCCCATCTAGCGGCTTGTCATTGGCTTTGGCTTGGCTGGGTCTCTTCGGTCCCGCCCTGAGAAGTTTGACAGCGCCACGCCCATGACTGCTTTCATTGGCTGTCATTCCCCTCCTGAGACAGACACCCGCCCAGGTTCTTTAAGCTTTGCTTCTTTACTTCTAACACGAAGCAATCGGATTCTCCCTTGGGCTCAGGGCTTTTCTCCATCCTCAAGCAGCTTTTCAAAGTTTCAACGCTCTAAGCCCCACCTTGTCAGTCCTGACCCCAACCTTGTCCACAGAATACTGAAGACATTCGCCCATGGACAGTTTCCACCGGCTCAGATGCCCTGCCTGGCACATAATCCTAGGCACTCTGCGACTTGGCCCAACCCATTGGATATTTCCCTTGCTTTCTCTACTGCTATTACAGGCCGGCCTCCAGCCTTGAATCCTTTTTCCTAGGAATTAGTTTAGCCCAAAATGCCAGAACATGGCCACGCCTCCCATAAAGCCAATCCTGATCATTCCCTGCTGACTGAGCCTGGTTCAGAAAACACTAACAACGTCCTTTCCAAGAGAACCCTCCCATTGGTCATGCCCTCACCTCAGATGGTATATCCTTGATCATTTGTTCAAAAACTCTGATCGCTTAATTTGTGGACCCATCAGTAAACAAAACAGGAAAATATACCTTGCCCACACGGAACTCAAAAGCTAGTGGGAGAAACAATGAACAAAATAAATATTTAAAAATATAGAGGGTGATAAGTTCCTTGGATAAAAATTAAGCAGGGGTGCCTAGTCAGTGTTGGTCAGTGGTTAGAGCATCAGCCCAAGTACCAAAGGGTCTCAGGTTCAATTCCTGGTCCAGAGCACGTACCTGGGTTGCAGGTTTGATCCCTGGCCCCAGTAGGAGCGCATGCAGGAGGCAACCAATGTGTCTCACATGATGTTTCTCTCTTGCTTTTCCCTTTCCTCCCTCCTTTCCACTCTCTAAAAAAAAAGTCAATGGAAAAAATATCCTCGGGTGAGGATTAACAACATCAAAAATAATAAGCAGGGATCGAGGAAGGGGAGTGCTGGGGAGGGGGGGAGTCAATGTACAGTTACTTATTTGAATTTACTACACTTGCAGATTTCACTCCCAGCATAGATACCTCCCATGAGATGGTCCCTCTACCTGGAGTAGTCCTCTCCCCAATCTCAACCTCTGTGGTGGCTGCAAATTCTTTGACACGTCTCTCATGAAAAGGTAGTGTGTACATCCCCTACCCTCTGAATCTGGACAGAATTGTGACAACTTCAACTAATAGAGAATGTGACTTCCAAGGCTAAGGAGTAAGAGGCAATGCAGCTTCCTCCTTGTCTGCCAGATTGACTAGCTGAGGATGTGAGAAGTGGGATTGTGCTGAGGTAGTCATGTTTTGAGGAAGCCCAAGCCACATGGAAATCAAGTGTATGTACTATAGTCCATGATTCCAGCCCATCATTTGAGCCCTGGTGCCAGATTGTTTTATGCCACTAAGTTTGGGGAGGGGGGATTGTGACCCAGCAATAGTAATTGAAACGGTACTTTGCCAACTAGTTAATTTCTACCTGTCTCTGCTTAAATGTAACTTCCTTGGGAATCCTTCTAGGCTCTACTCACCTTCTAACTAGATCAGGTTCTTCTCCTATAAACATATTTTATTTCTTCTTATATCTAAACATCTATTTCTACCCTGGCTGGTTTGGCTCAGCAGTTAGAGCACCAGCCCGTGAACCAAAAGGGTCTTGGGTTTGATGCCCAGTCAAGGGCACGTACCTGGGTTGCAGGTTCAAGCCCCCGCCCTGGTTGGAGTCATCCAGGAGGCAACAAATCAATGTGTCTCTCTCTCATCAATGTTTCTCTCTCTCCTCGCCCTTCCACTCTACATAAAAATCAATAGAAAAATGTCCTTGGGTGAAGATTAACAAAAAACAACAATAAAAAAAAATCTATTTCCTTCTTGTTGGGTTAATTTAAATGTGTGGTTTGTTCAAAAAAGCTAAAAATAAGTATTTACCATGTCTGAGACACACAGAAGCTACTTTTTACAGAAAGCTATTCCATCCACCCTTTAAAAAATAAAGATGTTGCCCTGGCCAGTTTGGCTCAGCAGTTAGAGTGTCGGTCCGCGGTCCAGAGCGACCCGGGTTTGGTTCCCACTAAGGGCACATGCCTCAGTTGCAATTTGTCCCTGGCCCTGGTTGGGTCATGTAGATGGCAACCACTCGATGTGTCTCTCTCGCGTTGATGTTTCTCTCTCTCTCTTCCTCCCTCTCTCTTTCCTGCTTTGTCTGAAGATGAATGCAAAGAATGTCCTCGGGTGAGGATAAATAATAATAATAACAACAAATAAATATGTCAAAATGATACTGATTATATATTCTTCAACATTTTATTATGAAAAGTTTCTAACATACAGCACAGCTGAACAATTTACATTGGACACAGATATATCCACCACTTAGATCTTCCCACTAACGTCTTACTATGTTTGGTTCACCTCACATCCACCTATTACTCTCTTCATTCATTAAGCTAACTAATTTTTAAAATGTATTTCAAAATAAATTATAGACATTGGAATACTGTCCCCTAAATACTTCAGCATTCATATCTTTAACTAGAGTTCAATATTTATTTTTCTTGAGGTAAACTTTACATACAATGAAATTCAACAATTTCACTGAATTTTCACAAGTGCACACACCTGTGTAACACTAATCTCTACCCAGCATGGCAACTGGACTTGTTATATGGCAGCCCAGGATGAGAGAGGAGGGAGAGAGAGAAGAGAAAGAAGGAGAGAGGGAGGGGAGGGAGGGGAGAGAGGGAGGGGAGGGAGGGAGAGGGATGGAGAGAGAGAGAGAGAGAAAGAGAGGTGAAAAATATCTTTTCTAATCCAGTTTAGAAATTTAAAGTAGTATCACTTCCTCTGCATTCTGTTTATGGAGGGGTCACAAAGTTCTACCCAGTTTCAAGAAGAAACCTAGATTCTACTTTTGGATAGGAAATGTTTCAAAGAACTTGCTGACAAAACAATCAGTTTTTAATAGTCCAGACAGAGAAGGATAGCCTAGACTAGGGTGAGGGCCATGGACAGAGGAGAAGGGGTTAAATTCTGGATAGATTTTTAAGGTAGACCTGATAGGACTTGCTGGTCCACTGACTGTGGGTGTGAGGAAAAGAGAGGAGTCGAGGAGGACTATGAGGCTTTCGGAGCGAGCAGGGAGGATGAAGCTGAGGAAAGTTAGGGAGGAGCAGGTTTAGGGGGAAGATCGGGAGCTCAGTTTAAGACCTGTGCAGTCTGAGACATCTCTTAGACCTCTGAGTGAGGACAGTGAGCAGGTGGCAGAATATGAAGCCTGAGGTTTAGTGGTCAGGTCTAGGCTGAAGGTAAACATTCAGGCACTATCAGAACAGAGATAGGACTAGAGCCATGAAGCTACAACAGCACCTGGGGATGAGTGTAGATAGAGAAGTCAAGGCCAGAGCCCCAGGGCACACTAAAGTGACAGATTGGTGATGCCAGCAGCAGGGAAAGGAAATGCTTCAAGGAAGGAGGGATCAATGCACCCAGAGCTGCTGCGGGTTCAAGCAGGATGTGGACTGAGGACTAACCGTTGTCCAACACTCTGATAACCCCATTAGTTTTGTGTAAAGAAGGCAATCCCTTCGGTCTCATCTGAGACAGGAGGATCCACTCCTGAGTTATGGTGAGTCCCCGTCTTGCCTGGAACCCCTTTCCTGCCTTGCCCTCAAAGAAGTGGAAACCAGAAGAGATTCTATATTACAGGTCAGGAACTAAGGTTGGGGTGGGGCAGGACAGGTGGGTGTGCGTGTGCCATTTCCCAAAATTAGCATGACTCTTGGCCTTTCCAGAACTTTTTTCTCAGAGACAACCTGTAACCCGAAAAGGGCATTTCATTGGGAAAAACAAAATTTGTACAATTCAAAGTCTTCTGGCCTCAAGTGAGGCTCCTTCCCTCCTCAGTCTCATCCTTGGGGACCTGGGGGGTGACCTAGCTGGAGGAGATGGAGACCCCGAGAATTCAGTGTGGCCCAGAAGCTGGGATAATCGGGCATCCACTTGCCTGGAAAAAAAAAAAAAAAAAAGGCCCGGTAGTAGAGGCTGAGGTATGTGCTTAGGATTGGGGTCTGGGACTGCGGACAGTTCTGGGAAAGGGGTTCAAGAGAGGTGGGCACTCGATAGGAGTCTCAGAAGATTCAAGAGCCAGGTGTCCTAAATCCTGGAGACAGTCACCTTTTCTGCCGCCGCAGCTCTGCCCTCTGAGCCCTTAGCACCTGCAGTACAGGGTCCTCCTGGAACTCGCTGCTGTCGGAGTCTGGGAGAAAACGAGCGAGCTCCATGGGGCTGGACTGACAGCGTGCAGGACAGCCACGCGGATCCCAGCAGCCGCGCGCATCAGCTCACCTTCAGCAGCCTGCAGAAGCTCGGCGGCCTGGGAGAGCAGGTCCTCCCGGGGGGCGTGGTCAGCAGCCTCTGAGGAGGTGACCACAGCCTCTAGAGACCCCGCCTTGCACTGAGAGGGCGGGACCTCGACGCCAGTGGAAGCCCCCTCAGCTGGAGGGGGCGGGACCTTGGGGGGAGGATGCCGGACTTCCTTGCGAAGCGCCGACCCCACAGCTGGAGGCGTGACTTTGGCATTTCTAGGCTCAGCCTTAGACCAGCCAGGTGGGGTCTCCGTCTGTGGAAACCGTGAGTCAGATAAAGCGGACGTGACTTCTGAGCAAGGGTTTGTAAGCTTGGTTTGGGGGTGTGCGGTCTTGATTTCCGGAGATTCAGCCAGGGATGGGGACATGTCCTCTAGGCAGTCTGGGAAGAGCCGAGCGGTCACTACCTGGCCCAGAGGGCCTCGGAGCTGCGGGCTAGGTCCCTGGTCAGCCACTGTGACTCGTCCAACAGGTTCTGGATGCCGGGCTCTACCCTTCCGAGGCTTGGGGACCTGCTTGGGGACCTGCTTCTTGAGCTGGGCAGGGCTGCATATTGCAGGGGTGAGCGGGCCCTGGGGGGCAGTAGGGGGTGCAGGACTAGGGGGCACAAGGCTAGAGGCCCAAGGCGCGGGGGTAACGCCCCCAAAAGATACCCAGGGACTAGTCTGTGGGGCCCAGAAAAACCCATTGGGGCAGGGGTCCTGAAAGATGTGTGGAGAGAACCCTGGGAGAATAGGCGGCCTCTCCAAATAGAAGGCTCCCTGAGGACCAGGTCGGGCCACATTGCCCCAAAGTGGGATGCAGTTAGGCTGTGTTCCCAGGGAACCAAGGGTCTCTGCAGGGGCAGGTGAGGTCTGCACATGGATGGGGACAGGGACCTGAGGGGGAGAGAAAGGGTAGAGTGTCCTCAGTCCCACTCAGGCCCCCCCTCTTCCCACTTCCCTTAGGATCCCCTTCAGCCCCTCAGGTGTCTCCCTCTCCCATCTCACCGGAGTGGTGAGGGCAGAGGTCCCTGGCAGCACCCAGGTTCCATCACCCTGACCTCCTTGAGCCTGTTCAAGCTTCCGCCGTTGCCGCCACTGGTACAGAATGTCATCCTCTGGCCGCAGGGGTGCCTGGGAGGGGACCAGGGCTGGAGCAGAGAGAGGGGCTGGAGCAGAGATGGAGGCTGGCGCTGGGTTGGGGGCTGGTGCCGGGATGGGGGCTGGTGCCGGAGTTGCTGTAGGGTAAGTAGAGGGAAGAAGGGTAAGACAGGAGCCTGAGGGATGAGCACACAACCTTCGACTGTACCAGTATTCATACAGGCTCTCCAGATAATATCCCAACTCCTCTCTGGAGTGGCAAGTGGGAAGGGGCAGAGTCAGAGGAAGACTCATGGACTTCTCAACTTGTCTTCATTCGATTCTTCCTTCATTAACAAGTGTTTATTCATCTCTTACTATTGAGCCAGGCACTGGCTCAATACAACAGTGACTCAGGATAGGGCCACTGGCTGTCCTCAGTCCAGTACGGGCAAAAGGACATCTTCTCCATCACCCAGAGCATCATGTCAACAGCGATGATCAGTAGGACTACCATTATCTCTCAGAAGCCCTACCATCTGATGCTGAACAGAGAGGGGGACATCATCTCAGACCTCTCCCCTCTCCCCTTTATATCTCCCAAAAAGGTGTGTGGAGAGAATCCCGTGATTCTACTTCCAAACCTGGCCACTTCCCTCTACTCTGCTCCTTAGCCTGTGGCCCAAGCCAAACTACCAGCATCGATAGCAGCCGTGGGGGAGGGGGGACTGTTAACACTCAAGGTTATGTACCCTCCCTGCTCAGAACTCTCTCATGGCTCCCCAGCACCAAGATAATGACCAAATGCCTCCCCAAGCCTACATGGCCCAATATAGTCTGACCCCTGCCAACCTCTCCTTCCTTATCCCATACTACTCTCATCTCTGGCTCTTGCCTTTTCTTTTTAATTTTTTTTTTTTTAATCCTCACCTGAGGACATTTTTGCATTTATCTTCAGATAGAGTGGGAGAAGAGAGAGAGAGAAACATCGATGTGAGAAAGACACATCGACTGGCTGCCACCCACACGACCCCAACTGGGGCCGGGGACAAACTGCAACCGAGGTACATGCCCTTAGCAGGAACCGAACCTGGGACTCTCTGGACCGCAGGCCGACGCTCTAACTGTTGAGCCAAACAGGCCAGGGCTGCCTCTTTCCTTTTCTAGTTCATCATCAGCACCATGCTTCCTCCCACGTCAGGTCCTCTGTACATGCTAGAGTCTATTGTCCCAACCTTCATCATTGAGGTCTCCACTTAGATAGCATCTCTTCTGGGAAGGCCTTCTCTGGATTCCCAGCATCACAATCCTCTCCTGTGTGGTCCTCATTTCTGTTTACATTTCATGTTTGTGGAGTTATGTAGCTACTGTCTGCACTATACTCACTATGCTGTGAGAATCCTGAAGTCGGACTAAGTGTGGTTGGTTCACTGTGGAAACTCTAATCCTGCTCACAGGCCCTCATACACAGTAGAAATTTAATGTTTGTTAGATAAATGAATGGACACATTTGATTTGCAAAAAAAAAAAAATCATGAAGTAGGTACTAGTTTATCCCATGTTACAGAAGAGAAAACTGAAGCTCAGAAGGGAAAGGGGAATAAAAGGTGGAGCTTAAATGGAAGGAAGAATCAGACAGGCAAGTGCTGGAGCAGGATCACACAACATGCATGAACACCTCTCTGGGTACTTGTGCTTGCCTGTCACCACTCATGGAAGCCCCACGAGACATACAGAGCACCTGTCCACTGCATCCCAGGACCTGGGCACAGAGTAAAAGTAACAACAGTGACGGGAATAACAGGAACCCAGGTCCTTCATCTCATCTCTGAAATCTTGGGGGCAGAAATCTGTGAGTTCAACAGTTTGCAAGTTTTAGCAAAGTTGCATTGCATGTACGGTGCAGACAGGGGTCTGACGCAGTACACCAGACTCAGACACTTTGGTATTTGATCGAACAATATGCAATTGCCATTATTTAACCACTTTTACTTATAAAGGCAAAAATTTCATATGGTTCAATGTAATATATCCATAGCAAAAAATAAGAAATGACTCTACAGGATAGGTAGGTAGGTAGGTAGGTAGGTAGATAGATAGATAGATAGATTATAAATATCCTTCTCATTGTTGAGGTCAGATTTTGCTGTCAAATCAAGTGTGCTGCCAAATTTGCAAAAAGCCTTCTCATTTTGGAGCTTTGTGTTCAGAGAGGCAGACAGGATACAGAAAGAGAAATTGTCACACTAATGATAGCTACTGTTTTGTTTTGTTTATCCTCACCTGAGGACATTTTTGCATTTATCTTCAGATAGAGCGGGAGGGAGAGAGGGAGGAAGAGAGAGAGAGAAACATCGATGTGAGAGAGACACATCAACTGGCTGCCACCCACACGACCCCAACCGGGGCCGGGGACAAACTGCAACCGAGGTACATGCCCTTAGCAGGAACCAAACCTGGGTCTCTCTGGTCCAGGGGCCAATGCTCTAACCACTGAGCAAAACCAGCCAGGGCTAACAGAGTGATGCTAAGTACTCCATGTATTCACCAACTCATTTAATCTCCACAACACCCATAGCAGAAGAGTACAATTATTATCCCTGTTTTAGAATTGAGGAAAGAAAGAAGGCCCAGAGGCCCAAGGTCACATAGCTGGTTAGTGGCAGAAGTGGGATTCACACCAACTGCCCTCAATTCTTGCTCTCCAGAACTCACCATGTGCCTTGGGGTCAGAGCCCTTGCTGGAGTCAGGGGTGAAGGTCACAGACGAGGGAGAAAGACCATCAGAGCTGACAGGGAGTGAGGAACTGCTGGAATTGCTGGAGGAGGAGATGGAGGCCTTGCTGTAGGAAGAAGACAGAGTGAGGCAACAGGGGTCTCAGAGGCAGTGGGTGGGGCCTGGAGTTGTAGGAGTGGGGAGGATGATGGGGGTGGGGGAAGCACCTGTGTTTCAGCAGCCTGGCAGCTCTGCTTTGCAGGCTCAGCATCTCCAGGTCCAGGAGGGATGAGTTCCAGGTGTTGAGGCTCTGTGAGGTGAGATGGTCAGAGGCCAGCCCCATCCCAAAGGCCGCTCAGAAAATGGCTCCAGACAGAGGGCCTGGAGTACACACACATCTGCACTCCACCTGGTACCCTCACATGCTGGCTGAGAATCTGCTCCTCCTCCTCAGGGAAGTTTCCCCTGTGGATCCACACCCCTCAATGCAGTCACTGTTGCAGAAGGGTTGGCCCTACCTTCCTGACCAAGCTTGGCTAATCACAACATTCTGTCCTCTGGTTCATAGTGATGATGAGTGAATGAGAGTAAGCCCTGGGGCTTTGGATGAAGCTACTGGAAAAGCCTCCTCTTTCCTGTGGATTAAATAAATCAGAAGCCTAGAACTACTACTGGGGCCTTCTTAGCTACCTAGAGGGGAAAGCTTGCCTGAGACTGAGCCCAAAAAAGAACAGAGAGCCAAAACAGTCAATTTCTTCCCAATAATGTTCAAACACCTGATACAGCCATGCCTGAAAGCACCTACTTTTGGACTCTTTTATTGCATTAGCAAACCAATCCTCCTGTTTTGTTGTTTAAGCTTCCTTGAACTGGGGGTTGACTCTAATTCTATCCCAGGGCTGGTGCTGTCAGTTTGGGTAACCCAGGGAAAGGAGTAGATGGGGCTGTCACCTGCTTTATTTCCTGAAGGGGGCCCAGAGCCTTAGCCTGTGATGCACTGGCCACCTGGGCAAGAGTAGGGACTTCTGTGTTGAGTCTTCCTTCTGGTTTATTGGCTCCTGTTGAGAAGCCCCAGTTGATTTAGGAGGGCCAGGAGAGGTGGCTGCCGAGAGCACTGAACAAGAAAGGTTTGGGGCCAGGCGTGGATGGGACTAAAGCAAGTACCTGCTGCAAGGTGACTACTAGAGTCAGGCCGCAGCCACCAAAAGTCAGCAGGGGTTGGGCCTGCAGGCTGGCGTTCCTCACGGCTTGTGGGCTGAGCCTGGCGGAACCGGTTTATGAACCTGTGGGCACCAGAGAATGGGAGGTAGAGAGCCAAATCATCATCATAATAATAACAACAAAACAACAACAATAATCACAATAACCAATGTTTATTGAGCACCGTGGCAGCACTTGGTAGTTGGCCCTCAATATCCATTCTCCTTTCTTACATAGTGATACAGTATTTCGTAAGACCATTATTAGACACATAGCCACTCTTCTATAGATATATTTACCAGGTGTCCTTTATGGCCATGTAACTGGGTTCTGATTAACAGGATACGAAGAGATGTGATTATGAATAATGGATGTTACTGGGAGCCATTTTGGTCCATGAAGGAAAGGGCAACAGCCTAGGGGTGGGAGAGCAAGATAGAAGGAAACTGTGTCTCCGACACCTCCACTAGAGGGTGCCATATCAGCCCTGGTTGCTTCTGCCTGGACTGTTAGGTGAGGGGGAAATACATACTATCTTGTTTAAGCCACAATTAATTTGGGACTCTTAGGTATAGCAGCTGAACTTGTGTCCTACAAATCCAAGTGCTCACTATGTGACAAGCATTGTTATAAAAGCTTTACAGACAGTAACTCATTGAAAGCTTAAACAGCCCTAGGGGAGATGTTATTCATATCCCCAATTTACAGACAAAAAAACTTAGGCCAAGATCATACAGTGAGTAAGTGACAGGCTGGGATTTGAACCCAGGCAGCCTAACTCCAGGGCTCTTAACACACAGGAAGCGTGGTCCTGAAAGTGCTGCATAAACAGCACTGGCTGTGGTGATTATTACAGGATACCCGCCCCCAAATCTTTCTTTTATTTTTATTTTTATCTTCACCCGAGGTTATTTTTTTTCTTTTTCTATTTATCTTCAGATAGAGTGGGAGGGAGAGAGAGGGAGAGAAAGGGAAAGAGAGAAACATCCACGTGAGAGGGACACATCGACTGGTTGCCTCCCGCTCGACCCCAACCAGGGCCAGGGACAAACTGCAACCGAGGTAAGTGCCCTTGGCTGGAATTGAACCTGCGACTCATTGGTCCGCAGGTCAACACTCTACTGCTGAGCCAAACCAGCCAGGGCCCCATAACCTTTCTTGAAGGGCTGATAATACTTACTTGGCCACTACGGAGTCACCACTGTCAGTCAGGGTGGGTGGTGGAGAGGCACCCATCTGTTCTTCAGTGGTGCTGGATGAGGAAGAGGTCCATGAACTGGATGGCCAGGACTTCTCAAACAGCTCAGAGGAGTTGGGATCTGTGGCCAGAGCCCTGGAAGTTTCTGGGATCCTGGATCTCTGAGACCTGGATGGACTCAGGGTCTAAGATAGGAGAGGTGGAGAGAAGAAAAAGTGACATCCCTGTAGGAAAACCAAGACACACATAAAGTCTTAGCCCAGAGGAGAGGAAACACATCTCACAATGGTAACAACTCATCGAGTAAATGAGGCTGTGATGGTGGTAGAGGGCTGGGTAAGGGAAGGGCCTTGGGGAGGGGAGGAAGAACTGTTTCTTAATCTCTCACCTGCATCTCTTATCACAGGTCTTCCTTCTTTCTAGTCATCACTCCCTTGCTACTGGGCTAGCACACAGCACTCTCTGTGGGATGTCCTCACCTTGGGGTGCCAGGGGAGCATCCCCAAAGTCTTGAGTGGAGAAAACTAGCAGGCTGCAAGGGAAGAGTGAGGTTGGTAGGCAGAGCATGGTCACTGCGGCCAGGGAGGAGTCGGGGTGAGGGGTGTAGGGTAGCATCAGAATGGGAGGATGGGAAGAGGAGGGCAGAACAGACTACACTTCTGATGGACTGCTGGAAGAGATGGACTATAATTCCCACGAAGTGCCACTGCATGTTCAAGGTAATTATACTGGAGACAGGATTCCCATCTGCCCTTGGAAGTCTCAGAAGAGAAGAACCCAGGAACTGCTAACCAGTGGTTCTCGACACTGGAACCAGCCTAGGAGATGTCTTTTAAAAAATATAGATGCGCCCGCTGGTGTAACTCAGTGGTTGAGCAGCGACCCATGCACCAAGAGGTCGCTGGTTGATTCTGGGTCAGGGCACAGGCCAGGTTGTGGGCCCGATCCCTAGTGGGGGGCATGCAGGAGGCGGCCAATCAATATTCACTCTCATCAATATTTCTCTCTCTCTCTCCCTCTTCCTTCCTCTCTCTCTAATATCAATAAAGAAAAAAAAAAAATACAGATGCGCCCAGCCAGTGTGGTTCAATGGATTGAGTGTCTCCCCACGGACTTGAGAGGTCCCAGTTTGATCCCTGGTCAGGACACATGCCCGGGTTGCGGGTTCCATTCTCAGTAGGGGGTGTGCAGGAGGCAGCCAATCCATGTTTCTGTCTCTCCCTCTCCCTTTCTCTCTCTGAAAAAAATAATTTAAAAAATACACATACGTGGTCCTCACCTTACACCAAAAGAATCAGAATTATCCGGAAGCAGCAGCTAGGCATCTGTATCTCTTTCATAGCGTCCCAGGTAATTTCGAAGTGGAGCTCGGGTTAAGAACCACGATTAAATCCAACATCATATTTAAGTCCTGAGGACACTGTCTAAGGGAAAAAAGGTGGATGGACTACAATCCCCATCAGTCACTCAGCAAGAAAGATTTAAAAACAACAACAACAACAACAAAAACACCGATAGGAGTCTAGGGGTAATTTCAAAATTAAGAACTTAATTCCCAAGATGCCTCTGGACACTCTTAGAGGGGGAAAAAAAAAAGCCCTTGGGACCACTAAGAGAGTGGAACGTAAGAAGCTATTGGACCCCCGAAATGGTGAAGTCCAAGGCTGGAGCAGCCAAAGGCTGTGGAACAGCTTGGGAGTGTAGTTCCCTGCGATTGAGGGAGACTCCGGACCCCAGCAAACCTGACCTTAGGTTATGTTTATCTTACTTTGGTCTTCCCCAGGCCTCCTGTGGTCCCCGGTAGAGGGATCGGCCTCACCCGCCATTCATCCCGCCGTTCCCTCAGCGCCTCCGCCTGCTCCTCTCCTTCTGGGGACTGCTGTCCAGCGCCCCTCTCCGAGATGCCCTCGCGGCCAGACAACAGTCTCCAAAGCGACCAATGATAAAAAGTAATTGGAAAGTGGCGAAAGGGAGCGCGTCTCACAACTGGCTGTAACATCCACGTGACCGAGAAAGCGTGTTTGATTGGAGAACCATAACGTGCCGCATAATTGGCAAGCCTGTGGACCAATGGGAAGAATGTGAAACTGTGCTCGAGGTTAGGAGGGGTTTCTGAAGTACACTCGCTTCCCTGCAGTCCTGTCTTCCAGCCACGCCCCCTCTTGCGGCGGAAATCTCGTCCAGACTCGAGTCCAAAAACCGTTTTTCTCGTTGCAGGGCAATCAGGGAGACTGACCCCTCTCTAACGGACGTTCCCTCCATCAGTTGGACCTGCAAGGTCCATCCGGCCCGGTCACCTAACTACTTTCGTCTTGCTGCAGGAGCAGCTGGTTGCGCCAAGTGCCAGGCCTGGGCTCCGGACCAGGTAGCAGGATCAAAACGAGCTATTTCGGGCCAGGCGCACGGCCCCCGGGGGGCCAGCCTGGACTCTTCTTGTCTCCGCCCCCTTGGCCGCTGCTCACCTGGCAGACCCCGCTACCCTGAGCATCCCAGGCTGAGTCAGAGGCACAGAATTAGGCCTGGCTTGCCGGGGGGCTGGGCTGATGGGAATAGGGTCTGTCCTGTGTCCTTCTGACAGTTTGGCTAGTCCACCGCATTCTCTGTACCCAGGATTCTGCTCTTAAGACTGCCATCTGCGTCAAATCCAGAGCTGCCTGCGGGGCGGGGGTGGAGTTAAGGGTCTGGGAGCTCTGCGGAGAACTTCTCAGGCCCTGGGTCCCAAGTGCCGCGGTGTACTCCCCACTCCCGGCAAGGCTCCGCCTCCTCAGCCTTAGTTTCCCTTTGGGAAATTGGAGAATCTTGATACCTCTCTGGTATCCAGCAGGAGCTTAATAAATGGCCAAGTCATTGTTGGCTTTCTAAATAAGGCTCTGTTAGTGGTTGGGTCTGGCCGCGGTCCGAGTGTCCCCGGGCGGCCGGCCGAGGGGCGGACACAGGGCGTACTATAAAGCAGCGGCGGCGCACGCAGGGGCACTACCGAGCCTCCGGTGGAGCAGGAGGAGCAGGATGGAGATCCCGGTGCCTGTGCAGCCGTCTTGGCTGCGCCGCGCCTCCGCCCCGTTGCCCGGGTTTTCGGCCCCCGGGCGCCTCTTCGACCAGCGCTTCGGCGAGGGGCTGCTGGAGGCCGAGCTCGCTGCGCTCTGCCCCGCCGCGCTGGCGCCCTACTACCTGCGCGCACCCAGCGTGGCGCTGCCTGCGGCCCAGGTGCCAGGCCTGGGGAGGGACTGTAACCCGACCACTTCCAAAGCTCAGGGTTCCGGTCACCCTGAGAGGGGTGAGGGAATGTCCCTTGACTTTGAGCGGGATGAAGAGGCCGGGCACTCAGAAGGGCTTCCGGAATTCCGGGAGTATGGAATTGTAGAGGCCAGATTACTAGAGAGGGTCGGAGGTCCCCGTCGATCTAAGGAGGGTCTCAGTTCTAAGGGGAACGATAGGGTGAAGAGGTCACTCTGAAGAGGGAGTCTTGGTGACTTTGAAAGAGGCTAGTAACCCAGGGAATGGGAGGGGGGGTGTTGGAATGGGAAGGGCGTAGGGGCTCCCAGTGACTTCTATGAAGAGGGAATGTTTTGTTACTCCTGGGGAAGAATTTGGAGACTGTATGGGGTGACCCTATGTATCCCAGAGAGGCAGAGGGGAGGGTCTTGTGATTTGAGAAGGGGGGTTGTCCACTCTGAGAAGTGGGGGAGGAGGACTAGTAACTGCTGAGGGTGCAAATGGTCTCGTGACTCCAGGGGAAGGTTAGAACGACTCTGGAGTTGGGAGAAGAGGCATCTTGGCGATTTCTGAAGGTGGGGGGCCAGGTGTGTGTGGCAGTAAGGGCCCCTGGGGCTCTGACAGGAAAGGGCTTGCGGAGTCAGTGTCCATGAGGACACGCTGACCATGGGGTTGTTGACACTGGTGGGGGAGTGCTCACTCTGAGAGGGTGGAGGTCCCTGACCTGTCAGGGAAGGGATGAGAGGATGAGATTAGTTATTTGGGATGAGGAGGTCATCCATGGCTATGAGTAGGAAAGGGGACTCCCCAGTTTCAGAGGCTAGGGTCAGCTGCACTAGAACCTAGGGGGGAGAGGCCTTGCTTGGGTCCTGGGAGCCCCGGCTGGCCCCATGACAATCCGGCTGTGCGCAGGTGCCGACCGACCCTGGGCATTTCTCTGTGCTACTGGACGTGAAGCATTTCTCGCCAGAGGAAATCGCAGTCAAGGTGGTTGGTGAACATGTGGAAGTGCACGCTCGCCATGAGGAGCGCCCGGTGAGCCTGCTGGCGGGCCAGAGCCAGAACCAGGGCGGGATCCGCGGACTGAAGGGAGGGGGGCAGCGACAGGGGAGGATGGGGCCAATCAAGCCTCTCCACTTCCAGGACGAGCACGGATATGTGGCTCGAGAGTTCCACCGCCGCTACCGTTTGCCGCCTGGCGTGGACCCTGCCACTGTGACGTCAGCATTGTCCCCTGAGGGCGTTCTGTCCATCCAGGCCTCACCCCCACTGGCCCAGGCCCCACCACCAGCTGCTGCCAAAGTGGGGTCTGGGCAGGCCTGAACCCTGGGAGCCGCCTCAGGCCATCTCTTTAAAGCCGACCTGACTCCACCCAGCCAGATATCCTGAGCTTGCCAAGACAAACCCACTCTCACCCCCTCCCACACACGCACGCACACACCAATCTGGGATTCAGTCCAGACTCTTCCAACCTAGACTCAGCCCTGATAACCTACACCTTTCCAGGGACACTCCTGCTCACACTCCCTCTGGTTCTCAAATCCCAACACCTTCCTAGCTTCCAGACCCTACAAGCACAACCCCTCAGCCTATAGTCTCCCATCCCCATTAACCCCTTTTTTGCCCTATAAACCTACTCCAAACTCTCTCCTAGTTCCTTCTCACTCATCTATGAAAACATGTCCACTCTGACACCAGATTATGATAGAGCCCTGTCCTTACCCTAGGCCAGTCAAGTATAACGCCCCCATCACCCCAAAGTCCCATACTGCAGACTTCCCACACTGGACCATCCAGGCCTGGTCTTCCCCTCATTCCAACCAGACACTCTACTCCCCACTACCCCACCCCACAACCCATCTTCTGACTTGAAACCTCAGCCAACCACCTTCAGACTCTTGAATCCCTTTTCTGACCCCCACCTTTGGAAACCTATTCTAGGCCAACCAGGACCCTCAACCTCAAAATGTAGATACTCTGCCCATCTCTCCAGACCCTGCAAAATGTCCTAACCCCCATCTCCAACTTTACCAAGGACACTCCAGTCACCTTGTCTTGACCCCTAAGTCTCTAACCACAGGCAATCCCCGTTCCAGACCTTCCCCTTATTCTCCAAGGCCCAGTCCAACAGCCGCTTTCTTTGATTCCCCACAATCTTTCTCCCTCCTTGAATTCCCCGCTGCCACATCCCCTTACTCCCTCAATAAATGTGTTACAGCTGTGCCAACTGTTTTATGTCTGAGCCAGGAAGGATGAGCTGGAGCAACCAGAGGCCAGTGTGAAGAGTGGACATGTTTATTGGGGTGGGGTGGAGTCAGGGGAACATCACTGTCGCTCATACATCTCCCGTAGGATCTTCATGCTTTCTGAGTAACGAAGCTGGTTCCGATGAGATGCCTCCTTCCACCTGCAGCGAGAGAGGGGAAGCGGAGGGAGGAGTCAGCGGTTGGGGCAGGAGACATAAAGGGGCAAGCAGGTTTGGGATGCTTACCTCTGGCGGATGCGTTTCCAGCGCTGCATGTTGCGGTAGATGAGTGTGGAGGGTGAGGGCTCAGGCTCAGAGGGCTGTGTAGACAGAGAAGCCAGGCTAGGTGGCCATGCCCAAGTCCCACAACATAGCCCCAGGCAAGCCTTGCAGACCCACCTCATCATCAGGGATACCCTGGATCTCGGGCTGCAGTGGGGATGGAATTCGGGATCTGCAGGCATCCCCAGGTGGCCCAGGGGCTGTGGGAGGAGGCAGCTTGTACACATCACAACTCTTGCTGTTGGTGACCTCTGAACCCTGGGGACACAAGAGCCGCATACCAGGCCCAAGAGAGTCAGAGAAGAGGGCCAGGGGTACACATTTTACCTCTCCTCCCTTTCCCAGTGACAATAAACATGAGGTTCTCACCAGGACCTATAGTTTGGAGTCATGTCTGAAGCATGGGGACCTTAACCTAGCTTGGGGGTCAGGTCTGTCTACCCCAGAGATCCCCATTTTCTCCTGTCCACCCCTGCCCAGCCAGTCCAGAGCCTCCCATCTATGTCTGCATAGCCCGGGGGGGGGGGGGGGGGGGCATTTGCTCCCTTAGATCAGGTGGCTACACCTATTTACACTAAGGACACCTCTCCGGCCTCCCAGCTCTTGGGGATCCCAATCTTAGAGGTCACACATATCAACCCAGAGGAACCCTGTCCCCTCCCCCTCCCAGACAGGTAGCCATGTCTGTCTGCTCTGGAGAGCTCCATCCATTCCCCCAGTCTAAGGAGTCACATCTGTGTGCCTCACTGGATCCAGGAGACATTTAAGGGACACAGAAACCTGTGCCTGTCTATCCCACTAGCTTGTGGGGAGGGTACCTTGTAACCATCTACCCACTCCCTCCCTGGCTGTTGGGCAAGGGGCTACCACCCATCCCACCTCCTCATCCTCAGGCAGTGGGGGCAGCGGTGAGCCAGGTGAGCGTTCGCGCTCACGCACTGTGGGGCTGTTGCGCATCCAGGCACGGCAGATTGGGTACAGCGGTGTGTTCTCACTGAACTGAGCCAAGTCCACACTCCGGTCAAACAGCTTAATCACATACGTGTCTAGGGTGGTGGGAGCGGGAGGTACGTGAACATGCTTACATAGCCCCCTACTGTTGACCGCCCTCTAGGGCTACCACCTACTCACTAGATCGCTGCGGCCCTCCTTCAGCCAGCCCATCATCCATTTCCCTCCTCTTCTTCCTCCGCTGGTGGGGGAAGCGGGCGGATGGCCTGTGTGAGTTGGGAGAACATTAGGACCAGCACTGTGGACCTCTTGTCACTTGGCTGAAACCCCTGCCACCTTACCGTTTGCCGGTGGCCACAATGGAGCAATCCCTGTGGGGAGAGACAGGGTGTCAGCAGACTGACCGTTGAACAAATGCCTGCTCAAAACCCCTCAGAGGATACTCTAAGGATACTGAGATCAAGCCTGAGATGCTCCCATGGACCCCACTAACCTCATAGGTTTGGGTCCCACCCACACCCCTGGGACTCTAGGTGCCAACTATGAGAGGACCTAAGCTTCTGCTGCCCCAGGGTCTTTGTACACAGAGTGGTTAAACTATGGCAGAGGAAGCACGGGGCTTGGGTGAGGGAAGTCATTCACCACAAACCCTCAGACACAGATCCCATCAACAAAACTTACTTGCTGTGGGTGTCTGAGGGCGTCTTCCTGGCTTCCTCATCCAGACGCTCCCTGCTAGCAGAAGAGAACTGTGGGCTCAGGGTTCCAAGGGCCCAGAGTGGGAAGGCAATGAGTGGCCTCTCCACTGGGCCCCTTCTTCCCTAAGCCAGGTTCTGGGGTCCCACCCAGATCCACCTAGAACCAGAGGGCCCAACTTAACCCCCATAACTCCATGCTGGCCCACGATCCAACCTGTCCATGTGACTCTTCTCTAGCAGACACTGCAGGACAGCATCCAGTTGGTTCCGGGCCTTAGCCATCTCCAACTCTGGGGAAGAGGGTACAAAGCAGAAGTCAGTTCCCAGGTCCAAGGCAGGTAGGCAGCCAACTGGGCTGGGGAAGGGCATGTGTAGCCAATCCTATGGCCAGGCCCAGGCATGCTGAGAGCGTGCAGTGGGCAGACTACTGAAGCGATGAGCAAGAACTCCGGGTTCCTGGGTTGTCCCACCTAAGACGTGTCATTTTACCTCACTGAGCCCATTTCCTCATCTTGAAAATGGGTCTCCAAATGAAACCCACTTGCTAGGACTTTTCTGAGATTTAAATAAACTATGTTGCATATGAATCTCTTAGCAGAATGCAATAAGTAACATGTACAGAGCGCTTATTATGTGCCAAGCATTGTTCCAAGCATATCACACATATTCACCCACTGAATTCTCACAATAACACTGGCAGATATATATGATTTTTTCCCCATTTGACAGATCATGAAACTGAGGCACGGAGATGTTAGGTAGTTGCCCAAAGTCACACAGCTAAGAAATCGCAGGGCTAAGGATGCACCCAGGCCATCTAGCTCCACAGCTGAAGTTATAAGGCAGAGACTCAAACTGGGTGCAGAACCTAGCCCCCAGATACGCTTTGTTTGGATGAGGCAGTGGTGTTATTTTTAAATCTGAATGAGTTCACAACGTTTAATTGGGAAGTTTCACCCAAAATACCCATTTTGCCCCAGCCCCCTTGAGAAAATGAGATCTGAACCCACCTTCCTGCATGTCACAGGCCCTACAGCCTGTGTTTGCCTCCCTTCATCACAGAACTTAAGGAGATAATGATGTTATAAATATTCTCCTCTCACCCTGTGAGGTGTTTGCTTTCCTCTTCCAACTAGTAGGTGCTCTGGTCCAGTGCTCAAAGCCTGGAAGGACACTTGGGGTTATGCTTTGGCCAGCCCTGTGACTTCCTAAGGAGACCAGAAGATGCAGGGATTCCTGACATCACTCAGAGGAGACAGGGTAGGGGTGTGGGATGAGGCAGCTGAGATTCCAGCAAAAAGCCTTGGACAGGAGCCAAGGTATGGATCATGCCCACATCTCTTTCTCTAGTGCCTACTTCTCTCCCGAACCTCAGACCTTGGGATCCCACGGACTCCTGGACATCACGCAGCCTCCTACCTACTGGGACCCACACCGGCCCCAGTGTTTCTCTAAACTTACCCTCTTTCCTGGGCCCCCATCTCAGGGGTAGCTCCGCTGTCTCCCAGTCCCTCCCTGAGCCTCAACATGGACACCTCTCTCCCTTCTCCGTCCCAACCCACCAACCTCTGTCTACTTGGCTTCCTGAGTTTCTCTCCCACCTATCCCAACCCTACCCTGCTCACCCTGGTCCATTTCCTTCCTTCCCCTGGGCCCCCAACCTCAGTTTCCCCTTCTGATCCACCCTCCACAAAGTGGCCAGGGATATCTTCCTAAAACCAATCCTGACCCTGATCTTCCTCTTAGAACTCTCCATGACTCTGCAGCATTCCCAAGATAGCCTGAGCTCTTCAGCCTGGTGTTCACAGGCCTCCATGACTATACCTACCCACACCCTCATTGTTGTCAGGCTCCCTATACTTTTCTTTATTTATTTATTTTGGTTAATCCTCACCGGAGGATATTTTTCCATTGATTTTTTGATAGAGTGGAAGGGAGGGAGAGAAAGAGACAGAGAAACATCGATGTGAAAGAGATACATTGATTGGTTGCCTACCACATAACCTTGACTGGGGCTGGGGTTCGAACCTGCAACCCAGGTACGTGCCCTTGACTGGGAATCAAACCCATGACCCTTTGGTCCATAGGCTGACTGAACCAAACTGGCCAGGGCAGGCCCCTTAGACTTTTCCACCCAAGATTTTTTTTTTGGCATTTGAAGGGTATCTTTATTAACTCACTTCTCAGTTGAAAACCCTCCCTTGGCTCCCCATTTCCCTCAGAGCAAAAGCCAAAGTCCTAATCCGGCCCCACAAGATCTGTTCCTCTCCCCTCCGCTCTTTGCCTCTGTCTCCTCACACTACCTACCTCACTCACTGTTCCATTCACACTGGCCTCCCACTGGTCCTTGAACAGGCTACCACTTCAGGGCTTTTTCTAAGCTATTTCCTTTGTCTGATTCACTGTGTCTGCTCCCATATCCTCATGGCTCTCTCTCTCACCTTGCCTGCCTCCTGATCTCACATTCTCCCTCCTGTTTCACTTTATTGCCACTTATACCATGTAACATCCTACATCATTTTACTACTATACTTTGTCTGGATTCTGTGCCTCTCCCACCGCCCTTAACATGCCAAGTCCTGGGTACCCATAAGCTCAGCCCCAACCCCCAAATGACTTCCTTTCTCTCAGCTCTGTTGCCCCATCTACCACATTTCCGACTTCTAGGATTATTGGTATACAGTGACTGCCAGGATTAAAACTTTCCTTGTGGCGGGCAGGAGCGGGGAGGAGGGTGTCAATGGGGTTAAAAAGGGAGGGGCATCTGGAATACAGATTTTTAAAAAAGTCCTTGTACTTCAGGCACTCATTACAATGAGCTTGACTCATGACCACTGCTGGAAATGGAAAAACTGAGGCACAGCCAAGAAAAGAGTCCTTCTCAGAGTCTCGGGGTCGGAATCCCCACAGGGCTGCGGCACCACACTGCCCGAGCCACCACCACTCAATCTCAAAGTTATCTTGAGCACAGCCCAGGAAGGTATGTAGGTGGCAGAAATCGTTCCATGCCTGGCATAGCGATAGTCAAGAAGGGCTGCGCGGAGAAGTCGCGCAGTCTGCCTTATCGCGATAACCCTGTCGATAGGGACTCCCGTACCCTGGTCAATCCCGTGCTCCCCTACAGGCCCCCGACATCCGAGTTCTCACCTGATTTCTCCACTTTCACCTTCACCGGGAACATGGTTTGGGTCTGGGGTCTGGCTAGCTGAGTCAGAGGAGCCTAAAAGGGCCTAGGATTACAAGTCAAGGCCGCAGGCAGACGGGGAGCGGTCAAAAAATAAGCTTCATGTGCGGGAAGTCTTCCACCCTGAACAGCGTCGGACCACGACCACTGCCGCAGCCACCACCTCTAGTAAGGCCCTTTGGTAGGGCCCCAGCGACAGTCGCTTGTTCCCATTAGTCAGTGTAACTGTCGATCTCGTACCCTGACCAATTGGCAGCTATTGCCGTCGGCTCTCGGCTCTAAGTCCCACCTTGCTGGGGACCGGTTTCCGGAAACAAACCAACGACATCCCGGAACGCTTTCTGGGAGGTGTAGTTCTAGCTCCCGAAGCTCAGTCGGAGAAACCGCGCCTGCGCCGCGCGAGGCACGGTGGGAGGGCATCGCGAGGTTTTTTGGAACTGGTAGTGTTAGCTTTGAATAAAACCCCTTTAGATATTAACAGGACTTATTTAACCGTGGGAGTTCCTCTTGCCCCTAAATGGTAGAAAAGTCTGGAGTTAGGCTTCGTTTCCTCTAATTGAGCACTCGCTGGGTGCCAGCTACCTATTACTCTCTTTTCAGGCACAACCTCATTCCTTCTTTTTCCAATTTTTATTAATTTTTGTTACAGATGTTTCTACTTTTCCCCCCCTAGACACCCTCCTCCCCATCCTAGCCCCCCACATCCCCCTGCATTGTTGTCTATGTTCATTGGTTATGCATATATGCATATAAGTTCCTTGGTTCATCTCCTCCATTCACCCCACCCCCTTACCCTGAGGTTTGTCAGTCTGAACCATACTCCTTTCTAGGTCTCTGCGTCTATTTCATTCATCAGATCACCTTGGTCATTATATTCCACAAATAAGTGAGATCATGTGGCAGTTCTCTTTCTCTGATTGGGTTATTTTGCTTAACATAATACTCTCGAGGTCCCTCCATGTTGTCTCAAAGGATAAGAGATCTTTCTTTCTTATAGCTGCATAGTATTCCATTGTGTATATGTACCACCGCTTTTTTATCCACTCATCTATTAATGAACACCTGGGCTGTTTCCAGATCTTAGCGATTGTAAATAGTGCTGCTATGAACATAGGGGTACATATATTCTTTCTGACTGGTGTTTCAGGCTTCTTAGGATATATTCCTAGAAGTGGAATCATTGGGTCAAATGGAAGTTCAATTTTTAATTTTTTGAGGAAACACCATACTGTTTTCCATAGTGGCTGCACCAGTCTGCATTCCCACCAGCAGTGTGCCAGAGTCCCCTTTTCACCACACCCTTGCCAGCACTTGTTGTTGGATAATTTATTGATGGCAGCCATTCTGACAGGTGTGAGGTGATACCTCATAGTTGTTTTAATTTGCATCTCTCTAATGCTCAGTGACGTTGAGCATTTCTTCCTATGTCTCTTGGCCATTTGTATGTCCTTTTTGGAGAGGTGTCTATTTAGGTCCTCTGCCCATTTTTTAATTGGGTTCACAACCTCATTCTTTATAATTTATTAGTGTGTGCGTCATTCTTCTAGGCACTGGGGACACACGGTGTACAGAACAAAAAAAATATTTGTCCTAATAGAATTTATATTTTAGAGCATGGGGGATAAACAATAAACAAAACATTGAAATGTTAGTTTGGTTAAGGAAGCTTTCTCTAATAAAGCAAACATCTCTTTCAGAAAACGGGAAATTTCATTTTACCTCATATGTCTTGACCCAGATAAATTCCAGGAGGTAGCATTGTGGTCCACACTTCAGAGAGTACGTAGGCCAAGTGGGAAAGTAATGTTTTCAAACTCACATACTACCAGTACAGGATAGCAACCCCTAGTAATAGAAGCATTATTCCTTTCTTGTTTTTGCATCTGTAAAACAGGTTTTTGGAGCAGGACAGTTCCTATTTCAGAGGGTTATGAGTAGTATTCAGTGGAAAAAATGCACAGAATGTGTGAAGCACTAACCCTGGAACAAAGTAAGAATTCAGTGAATGTTTCTGAATATTAATAATTTTGTTTCAATGTCCAAAAGATCTCAGGAAGTCAACATAGAGAATTAGGATCATTTATTGGGGGATGTCAACAGAGAACACAAGAGACGGGAATAAGTATTAGGGGCTTGAGAGTGTGGGCTCAGAGTAGAGGAGTCCATCCTGAGAGAATGATCAGGTCCCAGGCCTGTGCTGAAGAAGTTTTCAGGGAGTACCCAGGGGTATGGTGAAGGAGAGGTAGTCCCCAAGGGCGCCCCAACGGGGCCGGTAGATCTGGAAGATGGTGATCCAGGTGGTGAGTACAATCACCCAGAAGAGGAAGCCCACAGCTGAGCGCCAGACATCTGTAAGGAGTAACAGGAGTGGGTAAGGTTGGCTTCCACCTGCTCTCTGATCACATCCAGACCAGTTCTCTCTCCTCTTCCACAGAGCCCTAGAATTCTGGAACTTCCATCGTTGCATCCCACCAAAGCTCCACGTCCACTCCCCAACCCCTACCCCCCAATGGCTTTCCTTCAACTGTGCCCTGGACTCACAGCCTTTGATTTGGCTCTGCTCTGTATATGCCGGGGCAAGGAAGGCCTCTCGGAAGAACCAGAAGATGTTGACCAACCAGAGAAAAGGCAGGAAAGCAAACCCACCTAAAGAGAAATAAAACAAACTGAACATAAAGCAATGAGTATCCTCCCCAACGCCCACCTAGAGGATTTATTTGGAAGGTCCTTCCCAACCCAAGTTCAAATTGAGATCTCTGCTATTAGGGACTCAGGTATCGAGGGCCCCTCCCTGGGATCCAGGAAATCTGACTCCTCAGCCATCTCTTTTTCAGGAGCCAGGAGTCCAGTCCTCAACTCCCCTCTTCTTTTGGGACCAAGAAGCTCTTGAGACCCAGCCTCCTCCTTCCTCAGGACCCAGGCCCTTCCCTCAGACCCAGGAGTCCGCGCTCCCAACCGCTTCATCCCTTCGATCCAAGAATCCAGCCCCCCAGAACTTATTCTTGTCCGCTCCCTTCTCCTTGGACCCTAGGAGATTGGCCCTTACCCAGGTAGTACTTCCGGCACAGGTTCAACTTCTCCTCGTTGGATACCCGCTCCAAGTTCATAGTTGCGCTGGGGCCGGTCTTCTCGAGGGTCTGCGGGGCAAGACCCAAGCCTTGACTCTGTGAGATGCAAGGATCGCGAAAATCCACGCTCCTTTTACGACAAAACAGAGATAAAATGAAGGATGGGTTTGCTGCAAGTAGGGCACCTGCGCCCCCACCAGCAAGCTGATTGCGTTGGGACGCTCTTTATGTCTATTGGGGTGCGTAAAACGATCCCCATCTCACCAGTGGAGTTTACTTCCTCCGGGTGGATGCCTTTGCGGCTTTCAACTACCGACGTTTGCGTGAGATGCCGCAAGCCTCTCTGGAATTTGTAGTCTTTTTTACCAGGCAGAGCTGCACGCATGCGCTTTCAGGGACTTTCTGTCGGCGACTGTGGCGCGGGCGCAGGCCTCCGATGCGCAAGCGCATTAGGGAGTTTCTGAGCGTGTGCTAAGCAGCCGAAGGCAGCGAGTAACTACACCTCCCAATGCTCTTAAGCAACGGAAGTGACTTAGAGCAGACTGAATTAGAGGGTTCGGGTAAAAATGACTGAATATTTAGCTGCGATATTCGAGACTGAGGACAAGTGAGAACGGGCGCAAGCAATGGCCCATCGCGGGGCCGGGAACGGCGTACTTAGTTCCCTGGTTGCTGGGCGGCGTGGGTATCAAGCCTCCCTGGCCATCGGTTCGCCTCTGTCTTTGCACCTCTTCCAGGCTTAACTGCTCTTTTTATTTTAAGGTCGGGGTCTGCCGGCATGGGGACCGGTGCTCCCGGCTTCACAACAAACCAACTTTCAGCCAGGTGAGACTTGGCACCGAGCCTAAGGGGTTAACGCCTCCCGGCCGTTCCCCTTCTGTTGTCCATCATCAGGAGGTCCCGCTTTTTCCGTATTTCTTAGGTCCCCCACCCTACCGCCCCGCTTTTTTCTTGTCGAACCTCTACAAATTCCTCCCGCAACCTTCAGGCCCTCCTCCCAGGAACTTGGCCACGCTCCCGTACATACGGACTACGTCCCGGTTTCCTTAAGGACATGCATCACAGATGCACTCAAGATGCTTAGCCTTCATTCTCTGCTGCAAGGTCCCACACCAACCCCTTTGCACATAGCCCTGCCCTCTGTGCTCAGGCTCTGCCCCTCTTAATTCTATTCAGACCATAGTGCTGCTCAGCTTGTACCGGAATCCTTAGAACACCGCCCAAACCGCAGACGAATGGCACTGCGAGGGACCATTTCTTGGGGGCAGGGCAGATAGCCCTCAGCAGGCCACCCCCTGATTCCACTCGACCCTCTCCAGGTTGCCTGAGCAACGTGGAGGTACAAGAACACTGTGATAACTTCTTTGAAGTGAGGGTTGGCAGGGGTGGGTTGAGTTTCTTGTGGGCCAGGACCTCAGCTAAACACTTCCTGGTTTCTGCAGGAGCTGTTCACAGAACTGCAGGAGAAGTCCAGGGAGATTGAAGAGATGAATGTGTGTGACAATTTGGGGAACCACCTCATGGGCAATGTCTTTGTGAAGGTGCCTGCTTTCCCGCCATTAGAGCCCAGAAGTAGGGGCATTTCAGTACGTAAAGGCCACCACTGAAGTTTCATAGCTTGAAGTCCGTCACTAAATCCAGTCCAACCCCAGAGCTGCTAACTAATCCCCTGAAGATTTCTGAGTTTGACTGCGGACCCTGACTGACTTTCCCCTCAGTTTTGGTTTGAAGAGGATGCTGAGCCGGCAGGAGTTGAACTCAGTAACCGCTGGTTGAGTGGGCAGGCTGTGCGTGCTGAGCTGTCTCCTGTCTCCGACTTCCGGGAGTTATGCTGTCAACAGTATGAGATAGGGTATGGCAGTACAGGGGTGGCATGGGCACCTGGAGTCCCAGACCCCTGTGTGTGTGTTGGTGGGGCTGTCAATGATAATGTCCCCCTCCAGTCATCCATTTATTCATTTATCCTCAACCTAGAGAATGTACCCGTGGTGGCTTCTGCAACTTTATGCACCTGCAACTCATCTCCCGGAAGCTATATGGGTAGTAACCCAGGCATAGGTATCTCAGGACCAGCCTGCTAAGACTTCTTATACCCTAACGTTCCTTTATTTTGAGATGAATCTGATCCTATGCCTCAATAACAGTGTCTCAAGTCTTTGGTATCCTAAGACTAGCACTGAGCCCCAACACCCAAACCATCCTGAGATCCAAATCCAAGAGCTTGGATCTCTAATCCTGAGATCAGCCCCTGAGCACCTATCCTAGACCACCCCCCAGGAACTCTAGTTACTTCATCACCTGCTCTGCCCCATGCCTCTAACCCTCCTCTTTCCATTCCAGTCCCCAGGTCACCCCCATGGTCCCATACCCACCACCTTCCCCAAGAAAGAAACCAACAACATTCCCCAGACCACTGGCGTGGCTGCTTCTGAGATCCTGGCCCTCTTACGCTCCACCCCTGACAGATATTCCTGGCCAGGATCCCTCAAAGTGAAAGGGGTGGGAGAGAATAATACAGAACTAATCATAATAGGGTGCTAGCCATAGTTACAAGAAATGTTGAACCCTTACTCTGTTAATTTGATTGCTTTGTTCTGATTAAAGAAAGCCCATTCTGACCTAGCTGGGAGCTGTACACCCTGGATGTTTACCTCAGGAATGCTGTCCATTCTCCTTATCTGAGAACTGTCCCTGCACCCCGCCATGGAAAGACTAACAACATTAGAGTCTTGGAGGCAGAGCACTAGAGACAGCCCACTTTTCTCCAGCTCCCATTACTTCCCCATGCCTGTAATCTGTGTTCCTCCCTTTGCCTAATTCCCCAACTATTTTGCCCATTGATGTTCCCTGTTGTCTACTTCCCCATGTAATACCTGATATAAGCGACCTGCTATGGAAGGAGAGCAGAGCAGATTTTTGCAGGATGACTTGGCTGCTCTCCCATACTTTCGGCAATATAGGAATAAACGCTCATATACGAGATTCAACCTTGTCTCTGCTTAATTGGCTCAAGTAGTAACAGGAAGCCTGGACCCATTTGTTGTCTGTTTTCTTTTTTATTCTCACCCGAGGACATTTTTCCATTTTTTTGTTCAGGTAGAGTGGGAGGGAGAGAGAGGAACAGAGAGAGAAACATCGACGTGAAAGGGACACATCAAGGACACATTGAGTGGCTGCCACCTGCATGACCAACCAGGGCCGGGGACAAACTACAACCTACAACCGAGGTAGGTGCCCTTAGTGGAAACCGAACCCGGGTCTCTCTGGACCGCAGGCTGACGCTCTAACCGCTGAGCCAAACTGGCCAGGGCTTGTTGTCTGGTTTCAAAAGCTCTCTTACACGCTGGCCTGTTTGGCTCAGCAGTTAGAGCGTGGGCCCGCGGATCAGTGAGTCCCGGGTTCGTTCGTCTAAGGGCACTTATCTAGTTGCAGTTTGTCCCCGGCCTTGGTTCGGGTCGTGTGGGTGGCAACCACTCAGTGTGTCTCTCTCACATCGATATTTCTCTCTCTCTCTTTCTTCTGCTCTGTCTGAAGATAAATGGGAAAAAAATGTCCTTGGATGAGGATAAAACAAACAAACAAAAAAACCCTTAATTCCCCAGGGCTATCTTCCCTAGTCTCTAGGGTCTACCACCTCTCCCCTAATAAGGTTTTGTATCGAGGATTTTGAGTTTGGATCTAGCTGTGGGCTGATTTCCTTCCACCCTGCACATCTGACGAAAAGGGGAAGTAGGTGGGGCTCTAGCCACAGCTGCAGCTGAAGAACTTCAAGCAGGTGGAAAATTATCGGACTCAGGGCCCAACACCCTAGAAACCTCCAAGTGGGACTGGTAGGGGTGGGGGGCACCTTCGTGCTGGAAACTTCATTAATCCATCTGAGGCTTTTCAAGGGGAAGACGCCTGGTGTGGCAAATTGGAGGAGTCCCAGCCCAGAGGAGATTGGAGTTAGGAGCCAAGGTAAGGTCCCTTGAAGTTGATAGGGAATCAAGTAGATGAGGCCTGGGGGCTCTATCCCCGATTCCCTGAAATGGGGGTTAGTAATACCTAATATAAAGCTTACCATATGCCAGGTGCTGTCCTAAGAGCTTTACTTCTAGTAAGGTGTTTTAAATCATTTTTATTTTTCAATTACAGTTGATTCTAGTAAGAGTTTTAATTCTCTACAATAACCTTATGAGACAGGTGGTATTAGCCTTCATACGGATGGAACGGCCGAGATGGGATATGAATCCACGCAGTCAGGCTTCAGAGCCCTTGCTCTAGCAATCTGGAGGACTTGTGGCCTCTGGTATGGGCCAGGAGTTGGACTGGGGTGGAGGTAGAGTCCTGGCTTTCACAGGTGTCTAGGGGTCCTATGCCCCAACGTCCACTGTTTCCTTCTTCCTGGTTTCCTGGGAAAGCCGCAAAGGCGCTGTGAACGGAAGTCCTGCGGTCGCGGGCCCCTAGGCTGCAGACCCCGCCGGGGATGGAGCCCCAGTGCCTCCTCTTGTTTGCCGCGCTGCTCCTGGGGCAGGGGGTGCTGCAGGAAGCCTCCCAGTTCTGCAGCCCCCTAGAGTACTGGAACCCTGACACCCTGAGCTGCCGCAGCTGCCTGCAGCGCTTCGGGACCCCGAAGCCTGGTGAGGACCAGGGACTGGGCGTACGCCTATGCATGTGTTCGGGTGGAGCGAGGGGGTGATAGGGAGCCCAAGGAGCGAGGTTTGGGGGCTCGCTTCAGGGTGGGGGTGGTAGGCCTTAATCCTATAAGGCAGATCTGGAGGCTACCGCTTAAGGCTGCGGCCTGTTAGGCGGGATCCAGGGGGCGAGGGAGTGAGCTATGCAGAGAAATCTGCATGGGCGGAGCTTGGTGCGGAAGCAGGAGGGGCGTAAAGGGTACCCAGCCGGTGGTTGGGAGACTGGCAGCGCTAGTGTGGGGAAGGAAGAACGGAGGTGAGCACGTCCGGTGATGGTTGGGTAGAGTCCAAGGGGCGAGGCCTGTTGGCACAGGACAAAGGGGAAAGGACCTTATAGAGGAGGTGAGGCTAGGAAGCCACAAAAGAGATCCTGTCTCCCACTAGGCCATGAGTTTTCGGAAAACTGCGGGCTCAATGACTTTGGTGATCACGAAAGGCACCCCTTCAAAGAATGTCCTCCTGGGATGTGCAACCCCAACAGCGCGGAGCAATGCAGCCCCTGTGGCAGGACAGCCAGGACCCCCACTCCCGCGACAACCGGGTGGCACGGCGAACAGGTGTTGGCGGGGCTCTGGACTGCTTGGACAAGGCAGCCTTTGGGGAGGGGGGGATGTCTGGAGGGAGTGGTTTTGGGTCAGGTGGGCGGGTTTTGGATCAAATGTGGTGGTGTAGCCCCACAGAAGAGTATGGGGGTGGGGACATTGTATCTGGGGGTGACCAGCTAGGGTTAAAGTACTACGGTGCGGGTTGGATTGGGTGGGGATGTGGCCCTATGGAGAGCTTATAAGGACAGATTTGGGCTGAGGGGGGCAGGAGTGGGGTTTGCCTCCTGCTTCACCCCAACCCCCTATTCCCAGAAGCCGTCCTCTACCAAGGATTCCAGCCCTCTGAAGCCTGAAACACCCAAAGTCCTAAGCTCCCAGGAGCCCAGCTCACTGACGATTTCCAGCTCCTTGCTGACACATGAGCACACTGTCCCTTGGCAGACTTTTGCCCTGCCCCTGGTTCTGCTGGTTCTGCTCCTGACCTCAGCAGCTATCCTCCTGTTCATCCTGCAAAGGCACAGCCTCCGCCACCGCTACCCTGGCTTGGCTTCCAGAGACTCCAAAACCTCTAGAGGCTTTCTGGAGGCATCAGAAGCAGGTGAATCATGGGTTTCTCTGCTTCCACTCGTGGCTGGGGGTTAGTCCCAGACATGCCAATGGGAAGGAAGATGGACTGGAAGCCCAGCCTTTCTCCCCCTCACCCCTCTGTCTCTCAGAGCTGTCAAATCTGACATCGAAGCCCCTGTCTTGCCTGTTGGATGAACTGGAGGTGCTGGAGGAGCTGATTGTGCTGCTGGACCCTGAGCCTGGGCCTGGTGGGGCATTGGCCTGTGGTACCACTCGACACCTGGCTGCAAAATATGGACTGCCTGCTGCCTGGTCCACCTTTGCCTACTCACTGCGACCCAGTCGCTCGCCTCTGCGTGCCCTGATTGAGGTGGTGGTGGCAAAGGAGCCCTCTGCTTCTCTGGGCCAGCTTGGCATACACCTGGCCCAGCTAGGGCGTGCAGATGCACTGCAGGTGCTGTCCAAGCTTGCCTGATCTGGGGCTCACCTGGCCTAGTATGGGTCAAGTTTCCCTTGAAATAAGTGCCTTCTGTTTCCTGAAGTCATTAGGATCCCTCTTGAAATAGTCTTAAATGGGTCAAGACTCAACAGACATCTCATCCTCCACTTCCTGACCTCCCTCCCCCAAGAAAAGGGGCCTTTCTATCATACACATAGACCAGATGTGGGAGAGCTGGCCTTGGGTGCCTCTGGGCAACCAGGGTCTGCTTTTGAGAAAAATTGCCATTCCAAGAGAGCTCACCCCCAGGCACCCAGCTGGGTTCTAACTTACAATATATAGAACATTTGTTGTTCTGAAGACAGACCCCACAACTTACTTCTAATTCTGAACAATGGCCTCTCACCTCCATGATGAGGCTAATGGGCTTTCTTAGCTCAGAATGGGTGTGGGGCACAGAGAAATGGGAGCTCCGACCTGACCCCAGCACCATACAAACTGGAAGACCACCTCTCCAAACATTGACAGACTTTATTGTGGGGGGTTCCCACCTGGGATCCCACCTCTTAAATAAAAAAGTGCATAGAAAAGAAGGGATTTAGAAACCTTTGTACAATATCTACATTCTGGGCCCCAGGACAAGAAGGGGACAATTGCTGAGTGGGCTGGAGGGGTGCGGGCAGGGCCCTTGCCACCTGCATGCCCACTTCCACCCTGAACATGAGGGTGGGGGTGAGATGCTCTGGGAGGGACTAGGGAGCCCCCAGACCAGGGAAAAGATGGCAGCGGGGGGACATGGGCAGCCACAGCTTCAGTTAAGGAAGCGACGGCAGCGCTTGGCGCCACAGTTGCAGGGCAGCTTGTTGCTGGCATCCTCGATGGGGAACTTGTAGTCATAGGTGAGCTCCTCACCACGCAGGATGCGGCGCAGGGCGAAGATGACGATGTGCTTCTGGCCCTCCACGTGGATGACCCGAGAGAAGCAGTTGGGCTCACAAGAGTGGTTGATGAAGCGGGCGGCATTGCCATGCATTGTGGCATCCACTACATCAAAGTCATCCATGCGGAACATGTAGCACCCAATACCCTACAGGAACAAGGTGGGGCAGTCAGGTGCTCTGCTCCCATGGGTAGGCCCTGCTTCACCCACCCCATTCCCATGACCTGGCAGAGCCTACCTTCCCATCGTAGAACTTCTCCCGCTTGTCAGTCAGCACAGAGCGAATGACAATACCAGAGTACTCAATGACCATCTCGCCAGCATCAATGTTGCGCTTACAGAACAGGCCCCGCCCATGGATGGCAGATCTACAGGGCAGGGTGGGCAAGGGGAGCTCAGGGGGCAGGGGGACAGAAGCAGGGCAGTCCCACACCAGGGCACCTGTCATCCACCCAAGGGGCTTCCTCCCCCCAACCCCACTAACCTGTAGACACCCACAGCCTCTTTGGATGTCTTCTTGAGGTGGCGAAAGCGCATGGCCATAGGCAGCTCCAGGCTGGTGGCGCGTCTGGTGGGGAAAGCAGTGTCACACAGGCTGGTACCCAGGAATGACCTCTTCTGCCCCTAGTCACTCTTTAGGACCCTTTTAGACCACCCCAGAACCCTGGCCTGCCCTCCATACCTGGTTGACCTGAGCTGCACCTCATCCTCTTCCTCATCACAGGTGGCTCCCTCAGGGAGCACCCTGTGCTGGGAGGCCAGGAAGTTAAACATGTCAAAGGTGCACTTCCTGCAGGTAGAAAAGAATAGAGGAGGTTCACAGCCATTCCTGCAAGATGCAACCCCCCTATTCTTGGCCTGGGCCTGCTGCTGGCAGAGTAGAAGGAATACCATTACTACTGAAGACAAAGCAAAAGGGGAATGGATGAGGTTCATTCTTCTGATATGAACTCATTGCCCATAGGGTTCCCCTGACCCAGGCATCACACCCCAGACCTCTCACCGAAGATAGACCTCAGCACGGGCTGCCCCATGGGGATTCAGGGGTGGCTCCTCCTGGCCCTCTCCCTGCTGGTGGTAGCGGAACTTATAGTGCTGGCAACGCTGGGCCCCAGGCAGCTGCTCTGCCAGGAAGATGACAGCGTCATGGTGGATGCCCAGGAGCCTTGCCCCGCTCATTCCTGAGGAGTCAAAGGTGAGGATGCATGTCATGTCAGTGGCCCATCTTGCCCTCAGGAAGTCATCCCAGCTCCCAGAGTCCCTGTGGATCCCCCACTTACCACTAAAGGACAGATGTCTGAGCCGGGCGTGCCCTCGGGCCTCTTGCACCTTCTCAATCAGAGTTCTCCATGCCCCTGAGGAGAGAGCGCCGAGCCATAGCAGTAAGGATGGTGTTCTATGGGACACCTTTCCTCCCTGTCACCACTACTCCTCACTCACCCTCCAAGCTCTCTGCCTCCACGCTGAACCCATCCTCACTGCTGATCTCGAAGCGCAGATGTGGGCCAGCCCGTTTCGGGGCCAGGTTCTCTTTATCCTCTGGGGATGGAGGCTCTTCCTCAGAGCTTGAGGCCTCACCTGGTCCCAGGGCAGGTCAGAGTAGGTAAGGATCACCTTTTCTGGAGTCAAAACCTCCCCGCTCCCCACCACCCTCCCTCCCTCCCTGGGCACAAGCACAGACTCTGGATCTAAATGTCCAGTGAACCCTACAGACCAAACATTATTTTTTTCTAAAGAGTCTGCGGTCCCTTTTCTGCACGACTTCTTGGCTAGATGAGCGGTTCCACGGTAGCTTGGAGTGTTTTGGCCCTGTAGGACACACTATGGCTTACTCAAACCCCATCTACCATAAACACCCACCCCTCCTTCTGTCTCACAAAAAATTAAAAATACTAAAGAATGATATTTTGCACATGTATAGTTTTATATGCAGCATATTGCTTTCAATATTACAAACATATTATTATTATGTAGAACCATACTCACAAAATCAAATACATGTACATTAGGAGCTATTTAAGGGATTTCTCAGGGGCTAAAGGTTTTAAAGCTAGAGCAGACAGGGCTTACTAAGATGTAGGAGACGTAGATGTAAAAGAAAGGGGGAGGGGCAAGGAAAACTCTGAGATTTAGGGTCTGAACTGGAAGGATAGTGAGAGTGGAGGAGAAACAAGTTTGGGGTGAAGGTTGAGAGCTCAGTTTGAAACACGTTGAGTCTCAGATTCTTATTAAAACTTCCCTGGCAACTTGCTGGTGGAGATGGTGCGCAGGCACCAGGAGAAAGGAGTATGGCTAGCAACTTGGGGGTTATCAGAATTAGAAATGCTATTTCGGACCATGAAATTAGATAACAGCACCGTGGAGGTGCCCAAGTTGACAGGTTGGGGCAATGAGGACTTACAACCAGAGAGGTGGGGTTCTGGAAGCTAGGAAATAGAGTGCTTCAAAGAGGGGAGGCATCAGCACACCAAATGCTGCTGGTTCAAGGAGGATAGGGACTGAGGACTGACCACTGTGTATGGGTGGAGCGGGGGTAACACAAGTTTGAGCGGAGCACACTTCAGGAGAGGCAGGACTCATGTGGCTGCTCTTTCTCCCCACATCACTTCCCTGGGCCAACCTGCCCACACGTACTCCCAGCCCTAAGCAAGATTCTAAACCTGACTCTTGCTGTATGACTCACATCATGTCTCTGCCTCAGTGCCCCTGGGCCCACCTTGAACTCCTTCCACCTCTTCTTAGCTCTCTCCCACCCTCCCCTCCATCTGTTCTCTGAACACTACTCTCAGTGCCATCTAAGCTGCAGTGCACTAGCTAACGTGCGTGTCTGCTTCCTCTACCAAAATGTGGTATGCGCCCTGGTCGGTTTGGCTCAGCGGTTAGAGCATCAGCCTGCGGTCCCGAGAGACCCAGGTTCGGTTCCCGCTAAGGGCATGTACCTTGGTTGCAGTTTGTCCCCGGCCCTGGTCGGTCGTGCGGGTGGCAGCCACTCAATGTGTCCCTTTCACATCGATGTTTCTCTCTCTCTCTCTCTCTCTCTTCCTCTCTCTCCCTCCCACTCTACCTGAACAAAAAATGTCCTCGGGTGAGGATTAAAAAAAAAAAAAAAATGTGGTTTGCTCCCGGAGGGCAGTCAGAGTCACGGTCACTGCCATATCCTCACACCCTCTCTGACCCCATAAGCCGTCTTTCAGTAAAACAGTCAGTCTACCTCACTCCACTGCCATGCTCAGCAGCTGTATTCTACACAATGAGAAAATCTACGTATCAGAAAGGGACTGGGGCCACTAGAAATTCCAAATCTCAGCCTAACACCAGCTTACTTGGTTGCAGCCCTCTGTCTGTGCGCCCTGACCTACAGAGTACTTCTTCTCTGGCTTCACTGTCAGCCAAATGACTCCAAGTGCCCTCATCCTGTGTACTGATGTCCGCAGGGACACCTAACCTCAGGGAGGCCTCCTAGTCAACCTGACCGCCATGCCTTCTCTTACCTCCTTGGCCTTCATCCTTGGCTTTGCTGTCTCAGCCCTCATACTAAACCCTTCTAAGTGGTTGGCCCACCCTCTCCTCCCAAATTCTCAGGCGTTTTTTTTTTTTTTTTGGCAAAGCACCTGGGTGTTGTTTTGGCTTCCTCATTAATCACCATTTTTGATTCTGGTCTTTACACAATATCCTCCCCACCTTGTGCCACTGGCCCACACGGTACACACCCACCCCAGACCCTGCATGCTAGGGCCTTCTGTGGCAGTTGGGACTGCTGACTACTCCCTTCCCCAGGCCCCTGGGACACCACTCTCCTGATCTCCTTCCTACTGTTCCTGCCCCTCCTCTGGCTCCTAGGTGGGATCCATCCTCTCTGGATAATTCCCGGAACTTCATCTTTGGTTTTACTAGGTCCCTAACCCTTTGACCCAGGCAGACTAGGCTCTCAAGCCCTCCCTGGGACGCGTGGGCATGCTGGACAAGGCACTTTCAGAGACCCTCTCACATCAAGCTGAAACTTCTCATCTCCATCTGTTTCTGTCACAGGCCATAAGTTCCTCGAGGGCATCTCTATAACTCTAACACCCAGCTTCAGGCCTGTTCCCAGGCGGGTGTGCAATGTGCGACACCCAGCAGGTGTTTTTTGAAGTGTACCAATTCTCCACTGTACCTGTCAGTCACTCAGCTGAGCAAGCACAAGGAAGAAGGCGGAGAGAAGAAAAGGCGGGTCCCTACCTGAGTAGTGGTGCCACTGGGATTCAAGCAGAAGGTCGGCGGGACCATCGGGAGCCTGGGGAGGACCACCTTCTGGAAGTGGCAGCAGAGGGGATTGGTCCTGGAGGGGCCTGTGAGGAGAGACCTGTCAGAAGAAGGAAGGGAAAGAGATCCCAGAGCTTCCAGGGAAAAGGGACTGGCCACTCACCTCAGGCTTTCCTCCGTGGGCTCGCCAGGATCATCCAGGTTGAGAACTCCACGCACTGTAGGCGTTTTCATCCTCACTCGGCTAAAACTGGTGGTGGGGGAACCACGAGAAGCCTGAGCTGCCTTCTCCTGCCCAACGCCCTTGCCCTCCTCCACAGCCTCAGCACACTCACTTACCCACTGCCACT